AATAAAAAAAATAACGGATTGCAGAATACGTACCCATGCACACCCCCGTTTCAATAAAGGTCAAATGCGAAGCTTACAAATGTCCAAGAACCAAAGACGAAGCGAAGGCTTGTGGCATTTTAGTAAGGTTTTGGGATAAAAATAGGGATGGCAATTTAAACCCGGCCCGACGGGGACCCGACCCCGATCAGAATGGTTTTTTCCCGAAAAATACCCCTGTGGGGATGGGGATGGTATTTGAAATTAAATCCCCGAAGCATTTCGGGCCGAGGACGAGGATAACATTCACAGCCCCGGAGCCGGCCCGTCCCCGTCCCCGTCCCTGTATCTCTCCCGAAGTGATATTACGACTATGCCCCTGTGTATATATATGTTTGTGTTTAGGGTTTGTTGACACAATCACAACACAAACAAAATGAGGCTGCTCACTCTCATCGTCGTTCTCTCTACTCCCTCAGAGCACGTCTCTCATCTCCCTCTCTCTCACTCAAATTTCTCTCCCTCAAACCACGTCTCTCATCATCTAGAGCAGATCTAAACCGATCCACCCTCCGTCATCATCATCTAGATCAGATCTAAACAGATCTGAACAGATCTGCCGATCCTCCACCACCACCGCCTTCGTCACCGTGGCTTCCTCGTCACAACACCGCCTCTGTCCGGCCTCCGCTGCAGCTCCGTCGCAACAGTGTTGATGATGATATATCCGCGTTTTTTTTTTTAAGTTGTTGTTGATGATATATATATATATATAACTGCAGCTCCGTCGCAACACAGCTTGACGAACAGATACAGATCTGCGGGTTTTTTTTTTTTTAAAGTTGTTGATGATGATCAATATATATATATATATATATGCGTGTGTGTGTATATATATCTTCAGATTTTTGAGATTTGAAATTTTTTTTGAGATATATATATATATATCTTCGTTGAATCGTAGCCAGATTTTTGATATATATATATATATATGCGTTGATGATGATATATATGTGTAATGAAGAATTTGAGATTTTTTTTTTTAAGTTGATGATGATGATAGATTATACAACAGATTGAAATTTTTAATGATGATGATGATGATGATGATAGATTACTGAATACAGATTGAAATTTTTTTTGTTGTTGTTTTTGTGTTAAAAAAAATGAACAGGTCGGGGATTTTCGGGGTCGGGGAAACCCGATCCCCGATCGGGGGCGGGGGCAGAGGGGCCGATGGGGTCCCCGTCAAGAATCGGGGCCCGGGACGGGAAATTTCTCACTATCGGGGATTGGGGACGGGGAGTGTGGTCCCGGCCCCGCCCCGCCCTGTTGCCATTCCTAGATATAAATCTTGACATCTTAGGTTTTATATTTTTTGGAATCAATTCTCAGGAATTTGGTAGAGTGATTTTAGAATGACGTGTGTTTGATCGGGGGATAAGAGGGGACTATCCACTGTTGGGATTGTAATTCGAGAAAGCTTTTTATTCGGCGTTTGTTTTTTTTTTTAGTTCGCCAGACATGGAGTCCGGCCGAACTCCTTATCCCCCATATGGGGGATTATACTATCCTAGGGGGGTATGAGACAATATTCATTGGACTATTTACGGTTGGGATTAGAATGCGAAATGACTATTTTGACTCTCAACTATTTAATTATGTATTATATTTAGTAAAGTTCAATAAAATTTAAATATCTCAATGTAAAAATAAAATAATTTTATTTAACTTTTTATTGATGTTTTATTTATTTAATTTTTTTATAGATATTTTATTTTAAAATTTTGTTTATATTTTATTTAAGGGAAAATTAGTCTAAGGTCTCTCTTCCATTTTTAGTAATGAAAGAAATCCACAATATTATTTTATGATATCTAAGGTTCCTACAGAGAAATTTGATATACCTTACACCTTCAAACCTTCACCCTCTCTCTCTCTCTCTCTCTCCTCGCTGCTCTTTTCTCTCTCTCTCTCTCTCTCTCTCTCTCTCTCTCCTCGCTGCTCTTTTCTCTCTCTCTCTCTATCTCTCTTTGTCTCTCTCTCTCTCGTCAATTCAACTCGCCGACCACTCTCACTTCGTCGAAGACTTCATCCTCTCTTCCGACGGCCAGTTCGCTCTCTCCGGCAACTGGAACTTCGAGCTCCGCCTCTCGGACCTCTCCACTGGCATCACTGCTCGCCACTCAGATCACCACCACCATCATTGCTTCAGATCGTGATCGCCGTCGCCATCTGCCTCATCGTCTCCCCACAGCTTAGCCCCGGTCACCGCCGATATGCATCGCCGTCACTACCATCATCGCCATTTGAAAGATCACAGGTTCTGTGGTTTTCTAAATTCGATAGTTCAGATTATCTGGGATACATCATTTCTTCAAATGGAATTATCAGAGATAGAATTAGAACCAGAATCAGACTGATTTCTAGTTTTTTTTATCTATGGGGGACTGAGTTTTGATGTATTGAGTATATGATGTTTTTATATTTGTAGAACGTTCAATTATCATGCTTATCTTAATTCACGGTTGTTACTATATTCTTTTCAAACTTATCATTTGTGAATACATTTTTTTTTTATGCTTGAAGAACTGTTCAACTCAGGTTACTCTCTCTCTCTCTCTCTCTCTCCTCGCTGCTCTTTTCTCTCTCTCTCTCTATCTCTCTTTGTCTCTCTCTCTCTCGTCAATTCAGCTCGCCGACCACTCTCACTTCGTCGAAGACTTCGTCCTCTCTTCCGACGGCCAGTTCGCTCTCTTCGGCAACTGGAACTTCGAGCTCCGCCTCTCGGACCTCTCCACTGGCATCACTGCTCGCCACTCAGATCACCACCACCATCATTGCTTCAAATCGTGATCGCCGTCGCCATCTGCCTCATCGTCTCCCCACAGCTTAGCCCCGGTCACCGCCGATATGCATCGCCGTCACTACCATCATCGCCATTTGAAAGATCACAGGTTCTGTGGTTTTCTAAATTCGATAGTTCAGATTATCTGGGATACATCATTTCTTCAAATGGAATTATCAGAGATAGAATTAGAACCAGAATCAGACTGATTTCTAGTTTTTTTTTTTATTTATAGGGGACTGAGTTTTGATGTATTGGATGTATGGTGTTTCTGTATTTGTAGAACGTTCAATTGTCATGCTTATCTTAATTCACGGTTGTTACTCTGTTCTTTTCATACTTATCATTTGTGAATACATTTTCTTTTTATGCTTGAAGAACTATTCAACTCAGGTTAAATCATAATTTCTTTTTATGACAGTGTTGATAATGTTAAATTTCTCTAGATTTGGGCATTTTTCTTTGGATTACCCTTGAATTTTCTCTTAATTTGGCAATTTTCTCTAGATCGAATTTTATCTAAATTTGACAATTTTCTCTAGATTACCCTTGATTTTTCTCTGGATTACTCTTGAATTTTCTCTGGATTTGGTAATTTTCTCTGAATTTGGTAATTTTTTCTGGATTACCCTTGAATTTTCTCTGGTTTCAATTTTCTCTAGTAAATGATTTTGAATTTTCTCTAGTAAAGAATTTGAATTTCTCTGGTAAGAACATGGAGTTTGAATTTTCTCTGTTCATGATGGCATTTGTTAAGGACATAGGGTTTCAGATCTTCTTTGCTAAAGGGTGTGTGCTTCTTCATATTGCCATCGATCTGGAAAGTTTACTTTGAGAGGAATGTTGAAATACTCGGCCACGATTGGCTGAGGGAGGTTGTTGGAGACATTGTATTGGCACTTTCATAGGTATTCTTCCTTGTGTACTCTTGAAGGGAAAAGTATGATTAATTTCAGTAAAGTTGAAATGTCTCTTTGATATAAACAGAAACTTAGGCCTCGTTTGGGAATCCTCTTTTTTAGCCAAAAAGTCAAAAAGTTACTAAATTAGCCAAAAAGCTAACAACCCATACCAAAAAGTCAAAGATTCTCTTTTCTTTCTACTTTTTGCACATCTTTTCGTAATTAGCCAAAAAGTCATCCTAAACATACTAGTTTTTTTTAGCTCATATTTTAGCCAAATAGCCAAAAAGTTACTAAATTAGCATGTTCCCAAACGAGGCCTTAATGTTTAGCTTTGTACTTTTGAAGGCATTTCGACAAAATCAAAATTTCTCTAGAGAGAAACAGAGAATTTCTCTGGGTTTGATATCTACTTTTCAACTCTAAATTGATTGTTATTATTACATTTATGGTTCTGACTTTGGATTTTTTCTGCATTAGCGATTTTTTCAACAAAATCGAAATTTCTCTAGAGAGAAACAGAGAATTTCTCTGGACAGAATTTCTCTAGATCAAATTGAGAGACCTTAGACATTATGAAAATATTAGATGTCCTTTATACTATAAAGTATTAATACCATGGACCCTAAAAACAAAACTCCTTTATTTAATTTCATTATTTAAATTTTAATAGACGTTTTATTTAATTTCATTGTTTAATTATTATTATTTTTAAAAATAAATTTATTTAAAATTTTAATTAAAAAAATAATATATATTTTTATTGATATTTTTTATTTAATTTTTTTAAAATTAATTAATTTAATTGTTCAAAAAAGAAAAGAAAATTTTGTTTAATCTAACTATTAAAATATTAAAGATATGTTTAATAGTATTATCTTAGTAAATAATTAAAAAATGATAAAATAGTTTTTTGTTCATTTATCTTATTCAGTCCATCTAATCAAATATTGGATTCACTAAAAATAATCATTTTCAGACATCTAATCCCATGAAAAAATAAATACAAAATACACATCTAATCCAACCAAATAATTTAAAAGATTTACAATGATAAGATTCAAATCCAATAGATTTTAATCCTCTTATCTAATTCGCGCAGATGAGAACAACCTTCCCATCTGCGTCGTCCATTTCATCGACTATACCGCTTCAAAGTCCTCAATCCGACGGCTTCAAACCACAGATCACAACAGATTAAGCTACAACCGGCTCTATGTCATCACTCCCACTCCCATACTATAAAATCCGCAACTACTAAACACAGTCCAAAAACCCCTCTCTCTAAAATCATCATCATCAACCTCACTCTGTCTCTCTCTCTCTCTGCCTCGAAGGAAAAGAAAAGAAAAGAAAAGAAAAAACCCTCTTCTACTGTAATAGAGAGAGAGAGAGAGGGTGTGATATTTGTAGACAGAGAGGTTGTGATATTTGTGTAGAGAGAGAGAGAGAGAGAGAGAGTGAGATGTTCAGGAACCAGTATGATACAGATGTGACGACATGGAGTCCGCAAGGGCGGCTCTTCCAGGTTGAGTACGCGATGGAGGCTGTGAAGCAAGGGTCGGCGGCCATTGGTCTCCGATCCAAGTCTCATGTTGTGTTGGCCTCTGTGAATAAGGCTCAGTCCGAGCTCTCTTCCCACCAGAAGAAGATCTTCAAGGTCGACGAGCACATCGGAGTCGCAATCGCCGGACTCACTGCCGATGGACGTGTCCTCTCTCGCTACATGCGATCCGAATGTATCAATTACACCTACACCTACGACTCTCCCCTCCCAGTCGGCCGACTCGTCGTTCAGCTCGCTGACAAGGCCCAGGTCCCCCACCAAATCAAAACCCTACTCTCTCTCTCTCTCTCTCTCTCTAACTATATATACTGGCATATGCTTGTTGATTTGAATTTGGATCATGCAATTTGATTAGGGTTTAGTTTAGGAGTCGGAAATGGGGATTTTTTCTGTGTGAAAGGAAGATAAATCTAGATTACAGGTTTGAATTTACAGGAAATAATGGGAAGGAAAAATGCACACATTACGTCTGGAAATGTTTTGTTATTACAAGTCTTAATATGTGAAATAAGTTTTTTAGAAGTGTGACGGAGTGAGATTTTTGATATGGTGTTTCATTATTCTTATGAAAATTCAGAGGGAGAGGAAAGAAAGATTGGGCTTTGAGTTGATTTCTTGTTCATTTGCTTTATCTTGATGGCTGGGTTATGGTTCATGAAGTTGTGATGCAGTTTCCATTATATTTGACCGATTATGGAAAGATAGATAGGGTTTGTGACACTTACACCTGGTTGTTCAACTATTCCAATTTCAATTTCAAATTCCAAATCCTCTTTGGTTTTTCTTATTTTTTCTCAAATTTCCAAACAGCGGAAAATGTTCGTTGACAGCAGAGTGTCCTTCTTCTACCACATTTAAGTAAATACAGAAGAGGAAATGCACCTCTCTTCTTCATTCCTAGGTAATTCCTTTTTTTTTTTTTTTTTTTTTTTTTTGGTGTGTGTGTGTGTGGGTTGTGTGGTGTGTGTGAGAGAGAGAGAGAGAGAGAGAGAGAGAGAGAGATGTCAAACTATTGGATGAGGTTTTCTAGCCTTGTTGCTTGTTAGTTGGATATATGAGTCTGCTATACCTGCGGTTTGTCAAGCCCAACTTCTTTGCCAGGACTGACAAACTGTTGATCTTCTGGTGTCCATTTCGGCCTCATTGCATTTCAATTCACTCATTATGTCAATCAAAGTGAATGATGTCAATCTACTCACTATGCCCCATCATTCATGTGCAGATTGGTTTAAGATATCAGTTGTTGTGCTAGTGCTGGTAGCAGAGAGTGGCATCTCCACGCTAGTGTCTTGGCTACTCGCTGAAAGTTGCTTACAAGGAGCCTTGGAATAGGCATTATTTATTATTTTTTATGATTTGTGTCACTTGCAAATTGCTGATGTATCTAGATCATTTGATTTCAGAAAACTTTACATTGGATACCTCATTGCCTTGTGGATGCAATTTGTAGATTCTGGAATATTCTTAGGCTCTGTTATTAGAATCATACGATTCGAATATGATTCGTGACTTGAATCGTAATCAGTGAACTAAATCGGTGAATGAATCGTGAATTGATTCGATTTGCTAAATCGATGTTTAGCTTTCTTTTTTGGTTTTTTTATTGTTGGAAAAGGGTTCACACAACATTTTTGAAGTCTTTAGGATTATTATATATCATCTTTTAACTTTCTCTCTCCTTATTTACTTTTAAATACTCAAACCTTTGTAGGAAAAAAATGAACTCTCTCTGTGTGCAATATTCTAGGCTTACATATTCAATTTTATCCAAGGACTTTTGTTTACAAAATAAATTTTTTTGAAGACATCAAGCGAGATTTTTGAAAAAGTTCAAAGATTTTGATTTTTTAATTTTGGAAAAAATTTAAAACATTGTGTTGAGTTATTGTTATTTGGAAATTGAAAATTTGTTTCTATTTGCTTTCTTTATTAAGAATGGTTGATAAGAAATAATATCTAAAAAGGGAAAGGGTGAAGTAGTAAACATGGATACCCTTGTAAACTTCTTACCTAGACCACATGATTATCATTTAAAACAATATTTTCATTAATTCAAGTCTAAATATTTCATATTTATTAGATATGTTTAATATCTAAGTGTGTAGATATACTTTCCTATGTAATTTAAAAAAGGTGACCGAATCTTTACGATTCAGGATTCGATTCGATTCGCAATTCGGTACAATACCATTTTGATTCACGATTCGAATTCTGATTTGACTACTATGTTCTTAGGTATGGTAATCTTGGAATCTATCATTGAGGCCTCGTTTGGGAACAGGCTAATTTAGTAACTTTTTGGCTATTTGGCTAAAAAGGTAGGTAAAAAAAACTTGTATGTTTGGGATGACTTTTTGGCTAATTACGAAAAGATGTGCAAAAAGTAGAGAGAAAAGAGAATCTTTGACTTTTTGGTATGGGTTGTTGGCTTTTTGGCTAATTTAGTAACTTTTTGACTAATTGGCTAAAATAGCCTCTTGCCAAACGAGGCCTGAATCTCTTTTTGGGATGGTTAGTTTCTTGGTTTTGTGAAGTGGGTTTTATGTTACTTTATCTTTCTTTTCCCTTAGTTCTATGGTTTCGGCCATGATTGTTTCCTCTCACTGTGTTGCTTTATCCTTGCTACCTTTTGTTGGTTTTATTGTTTCAATTTTAAGTTTGGGCTTTGGTGGGTTAGCTAGGATTGAAGCTCTCTTTCTAAGGTGGTGCTTTAAAGTGAGGTTTTTTTTTATTAAGATCTGGTGTCTATTCTCTAGCTTAACCTTGTGGGTCTGGCTGCTCCTGTCTCTTTCCATATTCTCATTTGGGATAGTGAGGTCTTGTGGTGGATCCCCGTTAGATGGGTGTTGCTCTAATTTGCTGGTTGTGGGCTTCTCCTCTTTGGTCTGCAAAAAGCTCTGTTCTTGTTAATTTGGGGTGGGATTCTGACTATAGGTGGTGTTGAGTCCTTGCCTTTCTTATCCATGCTAGCTTCACAGTTTCCCAATTCATGGTTTCCATTCTGTTGTTGTCTCTCTTATTCTTTGTTGCATGAACTAGTGTCAATGTTGTCACATCACTATATGTGGTGCTTAAAGTCGGGCTTCTTAGGGTTGCCGTGGTGGGCATCGGCTTTTGTTTTGTTGATTGGTATTGGATGCACCACATGCATGATGCCATATGAATGGTGTGAGCCAACTTTGTTCTAGTCAGAGTTTATTGCAAGTTTCATGGCATTTGGGATTGATTGACGATGTCTGCGTTTCACATGCTTGTGGATGTGTGGGTGTTTGTTTATTCTGGTGCTAGTGGGTGTCAAAGAGTGTTTTGTGGGTGGCCATGGGTTTAATTGCCCAAGATAATTTTGTATTGTGGTCACTTGTGCTTTGGAGGAGCAAACCTTGCTTTGATTCTTTTGGAGTGGTTCACTGAGTTTCTTTGAGTTCTCTTTGTGTGTTTGGACAGGGTTTGCTTCTTTAATTATTTTGTCTGTAACTCATCTGATGTTGTAAGATTGTGTTTTCCTAGCCTTGCAGATTGTGTGAGAATGATTTTATTTTTGCTGTTGTGCAGGTTAGGTTGTGATCTCTTGTTTTAGAGGTTTGTACAGTTTTGGGGATGTGTCTTGAGGTGTCATCAGTTGGATTTTCTTTCTTTCGTGCTTTTAACTTCCATCTTTCACTTTCTTCTTGCTTTCCTATTTCCTAGACTTGTCATTATTGTGATTCTTACCGAGGTTGTAGCCTTGCCTATAATCTCAAAATTCACTGCAATGGAAGCTTTACCCCTTTCTTTGAATATAGAGTAATGCTAGATGGGTCCCACACCCATGTGAGACATTTGGTAAAACTTTTGGTAGAATATTTGGGGTCTCTAGCATTTTTGTTGAATATATTGTGCTTTAAAAAGTTCTCCAGTCAATGACTCCTTGTTATTTAATGTTTTCTCATTTGACTTGGAATTCATTACGGGTGTGGGATTCAATCAAACATTGTAAAATCTGAATTTTGAGCAAGTACACTCAATGGAGGAGGCCATTATCTTCTTAAACAAGTCTCGTTTGTTAATGTTTTTGTTTCTTGTTTTCTACTTTTTGTTTTCGTTTTCATTTTTTTTTGAAAACTAAAAACTTATTTGGTATATTTTTTTGAAAACAAAAAACGAATACTCAAATTTTTTTTTGAAAACTAAAAACGTAAACTTTCTCTGTTTTCGTTTTCAAAAAAATGAAATTGATTTCAAAGTTTTCACTTGTTTTTAAAAAAGTTGTTCTCACTTATTTTTAAAACAAGTTTTCACTTTCTCCTCTCACCACCACCTACCATCGCCGCCGCCACCAACCACCGACCACCTCACATCCTTCGGCGAGTATCCGGTGGATGGCAAACGCTATTGTGATCTTAGGCCACCTTTTGGCTACCTCGTATCCTCCGACGACATCGGACCACTAACTCCAACGGACACCTTCGGCTACCCACCACTACCGGTCACCACATCCGTCTACCCTCCATCCCCGGCCACCAAATCCGGTAACTCATCAAATATATTTCTCTATTTTTATTTTTGTTTGTTTTCAAAGTATTTTTATACACCAAATAAGTTTATGTTTTTGTTTTTGTTTTTGTTTTTTTACAAAAATAAACGAAAATTTGTTTCTTGTTTTTTGTAAATTGAAGACTGAAAATTGCAAATGTTAACAAACGAGGCCAATTGAGACTTCATGTGGGGAGATCTATGGAGAAGTGTTTTTGTTTTTTTGCTTTCTGGAGTTGGAAAATGCACATTGTACTCTATTAAGTTTTGTAGTTTGCTTAAATTTTAGGAGAAAAATTCTGCGGTGGTGATACTGAGGAATGTTTATTGAGTTACACGATCATCTTGTGGATCTGTCTGATGTTTAGTTGACCAGGATGATCTTCAGCTCTTCACATTCATAATGAATTTTGTTTTGAATTTTTAAGTTGTTAGTATTGGTTTGGAATTGGAAGCCATTGTGGTTTATAATAATGTGCAATATGTGATAGGTAATAGTTAGGATTGATTGCAAGAGATGGCTTGAAATGAATCATTTACCTGATAAAAAAGAATATCTGACGTTACTCTCAGGGAATCAAGATAAAAAAAAAAAAAGCCAAGGACCTAGCCATGGCCATGGATATTGGTGGTCTAAACTCGATTTTATTGGTCATGGACGGGCTTGCTTAATTTTACCATATGACAAAGCTAAGGTTATGTTAGTTTGAACTATTCAAATTGTTTTTGAGTATTTTATAGTTTGATTATGTAGATAAACAATATGGTAAAAACTCATCTCTGGTCAATATGTAAAGAAAATAGTTCCTTCAAAACTTTTTCTTGTGATTGAAAATTACTGAGCCCAACATCTGATTATGGTTTTTTATTTTTGATTTTATTTTCTAGGTTTATTGATTTAAAATATATATATGTACTTCCGCTTGGTTAAGCAAACTAATTATCCCATACTAATAACCTAAGTAAGCTAATTCACACAAAGCACCCTTCGTGCCCCCCCTCTAAATTTATGAATTTGTAAATTTGCCCCGAATTTTTGTGAATTGACTAGATTAAGGGGTGGATTCATCATTATTTATGATAATTTTTAGGGCTTGTTGGAAGACCATCATCAAGTGCAAGTACCGTTTGTATAAACTTCATTTCTTTGATCACATGGCCATGATATATGAAAGATGAGAAGATGTTACGGATGACATTTACAAGAGTTTAACCTGGGACTAACATGAAGGTTTCAAGTGGCCTAGACCACTTGTGGTCACTATTGTTTCTTTTAGAGTGTTACTTCTTTTTCTGATAAACAATTAACAGAATATTATTAGTAAATGACTAAATGCATAATATACAATCTTATGTATTATTATTTACATTAAAAACCAATGAACTTTAATTTAGTCATGAACAAAAATAGTAATAATAATATATTATTTTCCGTATATGTATAAAGGTGTTTGGAGACGGTCTTGCTCTCGTACTCCTGCTCCTGCTCCCACTTGTGAACCCACTTTACAAATTGGCTACTTAGCTAAAAATTGATTTGATTTTTTACTATGATCAAATTAGCCAAAATATTTCAAAGTAAACGTAGGCTAACTGAAAGAAAAAGAACAGAAACAAACTAAAAAAAAGACTTGGTTAAGGGCATTAGATCCAAATCTGGAGCTGAACACAGGATGACCCAATTTTTCTCCATGGGCAGTTTCACAAATAATTGCTCCATTTGATTATTAGTGTTAAGAATAGATATAGAATCATGGTCCACTCTTGTTTTTGTCTTTCTTCTCTTTTAGGAGGTGGGGGGGACTGGAAGATTACGCTGTTGGGTATTAATTTCAAGCTTAGCTCAGTTAGACCCTTAATTTGTTTTTATAAATTTTTGTATTTTGTGTTTGCTGATAATGTTTAAAATAGATGTTCAGTATCGACTGGATTCAATTGGGACGATACTTTAGGTTCTTAATTTCAAGCTGAGCTCAGTTAGGGAAATCCTTGATTTGTTTTTATAATTTTTTGCATTTATTGTTTGCTATATATTCTGTTTAAAATAGATGTTCACATTAACTGGATTCAATTAGGACAGTACTTTAGTCTCTTATCTCTTACATCTTGGACTCGTACTTGTTGGGTCTGTGGACTGTTCACTCAACCTTGGGTTCAATGGAGGGTTTGGGGGCGCCTGTTTTACGTTAAGAGAGTTGCATTATTTTTTGATCATAGTGAAAACCGTAGCAGCCGTGGATGTAACCTTATTTTGGGATGTATCGCGTAAATCCTTGTGTTTTTGCGTGTGTGATTTATTTGATTCGTTTTATCTTTCTTGTTTGTTATTTCGTGTCTTATTACCGTTACTGGTTATGAAGAGTTAATTCTTAACACTAGTTGCATGTGGACCAATATTGGTGTCTTGATTTATCTAGATTTGCCATCTATAGAACTTCAACAAAAATCAATATAAATCTTGTGGACTCCTAGTTGTATGTCTAGCTTTATCTTTCAGTAGTGATTACTAAAATCAGTGTTAATCTTGCTCGGGGATAGATACATCTATTGTACATGCAATTGCATTTAATTGGGAAATTAGTATGTTTTGTGCTTTGTATTCTCCTTCATGTTTGTCTGAGTAATGAAAACTACTTGTGTTTTTAATCCTTGATTGCATTGAGTTGTTTTCGTCCAACATGAAATGAAATGCATACAAGTCAATTTCAAAAAATATAGAACTGAAATTGACTAATAAAATAAATAAATAAATTAATTAATAAACTTGAGCCACATTGTGGGGGTCCGATACCCCATTATTGTGCAGTTGTGTGCCTAGTTGTTAGAGATTTTGATTTCTATCCATTGGACGTGGGGACATTGCTGAATTACAATCATAACCCTTTTTTTTTTTTGGGTCTCTACCCTTAGATAAAATGAATAGTTTCGTACTATGTGTTTTGGGTTCGAGATAGGTAGCTTGATTTTGTATCTTCCTATAAATTCCACGACAGATGGGGCTTGGATCAAGGACAGTTAGCTTCAATTACCATATCATTCATGAAACTTGCCATAGTAGCACAGTGCACTGGATACTATTTGATATGAGAAATATCTGGTTAGAATATGATATTGACATTTCCTACGATTGAAACTACAAGGACCAGCTTCTTCCCCCTCTCTTCGATTACTGATTCGGCTAAACTGCACTAACGGTTATTGCTTTAAATGGTTGTTTAGTAAGAAGTCAGTACTGTTGGGGTGATCCTCAATCTAAAATTTTCGGTACACAGTTTTGCATTTTTTTCCCTCTTTATTATGTAATTAGAACATTTTCTCTCTCAATGTGGGGGTGGGAAATTTCAAATTTATAGTTCTATTCAATGCATCATCATCTTTTCCTCTTGTAATTGTTCCTTTCTCGGTGGCAGGTTTGTACCCAGCGCTCATGGAAACGGCCTTATGGAGTTGGTTTGCTGGTTGCTGGCTTGGATGAATCTGGGGCTCACCTCTACTACAATTGCCCAAGTGGAAACTACTTTGAATATCAAGCTTTTGCCATTGGATCTCGCTCACAAGCCGCAAAGACATACTTGGAACGCAGGTTTGAGAGTTTCATGAGCTCTTCACGGGAAGATCTACTCAAAGATGCACTCTTTGCATTGAGGGAAACTTTACAGGGAGAAAAGCTCAAGAGCTCCATATGCACAGTTTCTGTGGTAGGTGTAGGAGAGGCATTCCATATGTTGGATAATGAAACTGTACAATCATTGATCGATGCATTTGAAATAGTCGGGGAAGAAGTTCCTCCTGCTACTGAAGAAGGTGATGCCAGTAAACCTGCTGCGGATCAAGGTGCCCTGGCCCCGGCTGATGAAGGTGCGGCTCCGATGGATATTTGAGGGTGCAAGTGCTGTCAGAAGATTTGCCATTCTTGTCATAGTAAAAGGGTTTTTAGATATTTGCAGAATGAGGTCATGGAATGTGGATTGTGTTATGAACAACATGATTTCTTGTCAGATAATTTGTTTTGCTATGCAACTCATCTATCTTCCTTCAGTACAGACATTTTAAACCTTGCCTCTGTTGAATCAAGTTTACATTTATACCTGGATACAATTGACTGAGGTGATTGGTTGGCCGACCTGTATGGAGTCAAGAGCCTCTCCTTGCAAGCTTGTGCTTGCGTCCGTCCTTGCAGGCTTTCGGGTCTACTTTTAGGCCTAATTTTGATAATCCGAACCGTTTATATTTTATGATTTATTCAGTATATCATACCTGTAAAAAATCAAGTTGATCGGATATCAGAAAGTATATGTTCGGAAAACTATTTATTAAATTCTTTAAAAAATAGTGTTTAGTTCAATTTTTCAAACACATACTTTCTGATATCCGATCAACTTGATTTTTTACAGGTATGATATACTGAATAAATCATAAAATATGAACGGTTCGGATTATTAAAATTGGGCCTAAAAGTAGACCCGAAGGCCTGCAAGGACGGGCGCAAGCACGGAAGCTGCAAGGAGAGGATCCTCACTCACCTGTATGTGCGAGTGTTTACTGTTTTGTGATCGTCATTTATTTCAACATTTGGAGGATTATGTTTTCTGGGCAGGATTGATCAGCCATGCTATTTTGCATTAGCTAACAATGAAAGTGTTTTTTTAATTTTTTATTTTTTAATTTTTTTATTTTGATGAGAAAGCTAACAATGAAAGTTAATTTAAAAGATAACATGCACACGTGGAATGGCACTTAGTCTTTCTTTAGGACTGGGGTTGGTTGAAAGTCACTTTTTTCAAGGCAAAATGAAGATATTCATAGAATATAAAGCAGAGTACGTCAGAAGGGAGGTCTTCAGTTGCAATTACATCAGACACTAAGGATAGCAAAGTGAAGACATGCACCCAAAGGTTACAAAACTGCGCCAACATGTCATTAGTGGGGGTAAAAATGGCCCGGCCTGTTGTCGGGTCTCGTGGACTCTCATAAAAAATAAAGCTGGGTTAGTCAGATCCATTCGTGCAACATTTTGGCCTAGGCCCAAGGTTAGACCCAGGAGGTACTCGGGTCAGGCTTGACCATTTTTTATATTTTTTTTCACAAAAAAATTATTTTTTTCTACTAAAATAGCTTGAAAATGACATTGAGCCTCGGGTAGGCCGAAGTTTAGGCTGAGCTGGGCTCCAAAACACATGGCCTAGGCCCAGGGGCATGGGCATGGGCTGGGCTCAGGCCTAGGCGGGTTGGGTCACTCCAGGCTACGGATTAACTTCGGGTGGACCGCGGGCCGATGGGTCAATTTTACACCCTAAGTCATTAGAGTAGTACATCAACTAATGTAAGGACTAGTACTCTTTTAGAGCTGCCCACATGAATTGACATAATATTTGGGAGAATCAAGGGCGACATATGATCAGTGGCTCTAATATAAATTTAAACATACTTACATTATTCAAGAATGAAGAGTATAATACTTGAAATACTTATATAGGATTACACTCTTCTAAACAAATTAAGCAAAGCATGTATAGGCACTCCATACTACATAAATTTTCACGATGTCTCATTTATTCTAAGCTGTTGTTTATATAGAGGGTTGAAGCCGAATTTGAAATCGTTTGAAATCTGAAGAGATAAGATTTGAGATAAGATTACATGAGTTGCCTGGTCACATTATGAGAAAGCATTTACTTTTGATAATGGAGAGTCAAGAATCTTTGCTTTTACAGTTGTCTAGTCGAGATGTGTCGGTGGTTGAGAAGAGTTTGTCGTTTTGTGAAAATTATTGGAGTCACGGATTATTGAGATCAATTCTTTGATAAGTGTCTGAGTAGTTATCGTCAAAGTTCTAAGTAAGAAATTCTGTTGGAGATGTCTTACAAAAGTCATTTGACATCTACAAAAAAAAAAAGGTTGATCCTCCATTTCCTCAACTTTTATACTTCATCTCGACTTCGAAATTTCGTAGATTATGGCATGACAATATACTACTTCCTACCCATACAATACAATATTCTTACTCGTCAATTTGCTAAAAAATGGTGGAAAAATTATACCATTCCTAAATGTCAATAGTCTAGACCACTTTTGAAGTATTATGAGCAGAAGGAAAAAAAAAGAACAAAAGAAAATGAGGCATCAACGAAACATGCTCCCTTTATGGCTTCTTCAAGCCCTAAATTACACAAGTCTTTTGACTATGAGAATTTCGAAGTTGAACTTAAAAAAAAAATTAAAGGATAAATATCCCTCAATATCAAAAAAAGATCTTGAACAAAAATATAAGAAGACAATCAAAATGAAGATGATTCAAATGGCAGAAAACAAAATTGTTTCTGATTCTGAAGATGATCAAGATGTACTAGAAACCATCCCACAATTCTCCAAACAAAAAAGGATAATATATGTTAGTCCACCAACATTTCCAACACAATTTCCTACTTAGAGCCTTGATGATGATGATGACTATTCAGACACCTATTAAGGAATTGGTGACTAATAATTTTTACAAAATGACACTCTTCTCAACCACCGACGCATCTCAACTAGATAACTGCAAAAGCAAACATTCCTAAAAACTGTAAAAGCAAATATTCTTGACTCTCCATTATCAAAAGCAAATTCTTCCTCACAATGGGACCATATTGCTCATGTGATTTTATTTCAAACTATAACTCTTCGAATTTCAAATGATTTCAAATCTAGCTTCAACTCTCTATATAAGCAACAACTCAAAATGAAGGAGGTGTCTCGAAAATTTTAGAAAAAATTATACGTTTTTGTGAACTTTAAGTGAGGAGTGCATGTACGTGCTTTGCTTAATCTGTTTAGAAGAGTGTAATCTTCTGTAAATATTTCAAGTATTGTACTCTTATTTTTTAACAATGTGAGTGTTTAAATTTATATTATTTCTTATGTCTATTCTCAATAGATTTTATTGTTTACGTTGATTAAGATATTACCAAAAATTATTAAAAGAATTAAAAACACGTTTTTCTCAATTTTGTTTTATGCCCTTAGAACATTGGGATGAACATGAACGAATTTACTATCAAATTTACAAATATCAAGAACTACTAGATACATTATGTTCTATATAAGTCAATCTATCACTAATCACTAAGATTATATAACCTGGGACATACATTTTGCTCTGTCATTAGGACATCCTCCTCCTCAAGCTGGTGGGGTTGGTTGTCCCACACAATGATACAATAAGAGCTTCCACCATCAGCCTCGAACAATAACTTTCACCAGCTTGTAGGAATGCTCAAAGTTCCTTTTGGAAATCCTCCGCATACTGGTTAGAGTTTCCTTGTCCCTTATATGATGATGCATTGCTAGATCTGTAACATAGGCATCACTTTTACTTGAGACTACTTGTTCAAGAATGACCATTGCTAGTTTCGTCCCCTTATTATGGCCATTTGAACTTGCCTGGCCTTCCATGGGAGCAGCCTACTAAGCTTATCAAACATGCGCAACAAATGGCCGGTCAAATTCAAAATCATCAACCAAGGTATCGATGATCATTTGCATCAATTGGATCCAAGACTGAAAAAGTACCCAAAGGCGATGAAACAAAGTGATTATCATGTTTTAAATCCTCGTGTAGCATGACCTTTATGTACCCAAAGATATTTGACGGCAATGAAAAGTCTGAACCAGATGCACGGGAAGTGAAATGGCTGCCTTCTATGTTATTCTAAAAGTTGCTTGTCAAAGACACCGGATTTAATGAACTAAGGAGTTTACTAACAACACTTGAGATGATGTGGATGTGTTGGAGCCTCTTTCTTATAGAGCTGTTTAATGTGTTGCCTCTGGGCATCTGCACCATAATACTGGTGCTCTGCTTGCCTAACCTGAACCATGTACTGTCCGATTTTGATATGATTACATTCAGCCTGCTCAAAATTCTAGTCAAATTATTGTGCTCAAACTATCCCTAGGGATTTTTAAGGCATTAATGATAGGCCAAACCAATTAATTAACCATGAACTAATCAATATTTTCACAGACCATAAGATTTAAAAATTGAAGCCAAGCAAAACTGTACACATTTTGTGCTTGAGGCATTCAAATTCAGTACCCTGTGTTCAATCGTTTCCGTTCTTTTTTGTGAGGGTTAGATGGTAGCTTTGTATGCATTAACAACAATGCTAGTACTCCCGAATGCAACTTAATGATAATCGTTCATTAATTGATAAACAATAACATTGACTCATGAAACAATAGCAATAATGATTACCCAAACCCTAAAAAAGATCCTCTTTGACAGGAAATATCACTCGTCACTACTGGGGACAGTGAGGCCCTCGGTCTGCATTTGTTTATGCATCCATTGCCAGTTCTCTGGTGTCACCTCACCCCCAAGAGCCCGAATAACAGAGCCACCACTGCATGAGCCCACTTTGCAGCATTCCTCTAGGTTTAGCCCCTTTACCAATCCGTACAAAAACCCACTTGCAAACAGGTCCCCTGCTCCAGTGGCATCTATTGCCTTTGCCTCCCCAATTGCCGGAACCCGAACAATCTGAAAGAGGTAATGAAATTCTATCCATTACTTACCAAAAAGTAAAAAGATTACATCCATTAAAATAACCACAGAATCTTGATGTAAAAGTAACAAGGCGTACAAGGACAAGGACAAAGACAAAGACAGTAGACCCCATAACTGGTATTGCATTAATTCTCTCTCTCTTTTTATTTATGTTTTCTTTTCTCATCTCCTTTTTTTTGGCTACCTACTTGCAATAGTTTACTGCATTTTCAGTAAAGAAGACAGCGCCAACTGGTATGAGTCAATCAAAAGGCAGAATTGTGTTCATAAGTTAAACAATAAGTCTATGCACACAGAACCAACCACATTAAACATAAATGGAACAGTCTGAGTTCAAACTGTTTCTTTTATGATAGGTGCCACCATCTGATATGTATGGCTAGGATTGTTTAGGGGTTGTTTGGAATGTGCTAGGATTGTTTCGGGGTTGTTTGGGATGTATGTGTAGAAAAATAGAGAAGTGATGTGAGCCAAAAAAAGATAAAAAACTAAAAAAATGCACTTTTTTAGTGCTAATGTTCTGTAGTTAGTCCTGTGTCTGTAGACTTACTATATACTAAAAGAGAGCATATCGTATACTTAAAGTAGAATAAATGTCTTGTGTCAATCTTGTGTACTTTCCATGATCATTCGATAACAAATTCAGATTCACAATGTTTAGGACGATACCAATTATAATATCCATTCCATAAGGGGTACACGTGTGCCTTTGGAAGAGAGATTATTATAAGATTCCATGGAATAGTTTATTATAAGATTCCATGGAATAGTTACCTTTTCAAAGTTCCACAGATTATATATATATATATATTAATATTTCTAATAACCAAAACTATGGAAGAGGAGACAAATATAACATATCACTGACCTCTTTTCCATGTTTTGCAATGCATCCATTAGGGCCTAATGTCACCACAGCCCACTGACAGTGTTTTGCCAAAAATTCAAGTGCAGACTCAAGATTGGCACCTTCTTCACCTCTACAACCGTACCAAGAGAATCAAACATCATTTACCAGAGACTGCACCAAATTCTGGGAGATTCAAGTAAAAAGAAACTTTGGGCCTGAAGGCTTAGTTTCAAGAAACGAATCCCATCATGCTTTCCATATCATCAGAAATGTTTAGAACATGTGTTCTCCTGTCATTTTTAGTAAGTTTCACCCCAAAACAATAACCAAAGACAGACGTTTCCACAAACTGGGTAATTTAATTTTTGTTCAAAAAGGAAAACGAGAATAATGAACCACACAAAATCTTGACCTCATTTTCTCATTTTTAGAACTCAGAGGGCATAAAACTATTCATGAAAATGCCAAACAGGCACTTTAGAACTAGCAACTTTTGTTTCATCTCAAACTGTGGAAGCATGACGCGGGAAGGAATCAGTTGACAGTTACCTTACAAGCTCTGTTGCTTCATCCTCGTTGGCAAAGCAAAGGTCTATATTCCCCGACTCTAGCAGCTGTAGGAGTTGCAATCTGAACTTCCGAACCATCTGATAAAAATATCAGATCATAAACCAAACACAATTTTCTTTGCAACTAAAACCGATAAAGAAAGTAAACAAATGCCAAATGAAATATAATGATGTGACATTGCTTACAAAGCAAATAAAGACCAGTCTTTTCTGTCCACAGGATTCGTTATGGGATTTTCAGGAATAAACTTATTTTGATTTCCTTAACATATTTTCTTCATGTTTTCCATTAAAAAAGATAGAATTTTGTTCCGTCGAGATTCAAAGAACAATTCTTCTACTTGCATAGAAACTAATCACAGAATCAGACAACAACCCTCTCATATAGGTGTCATGTGACACATGTGAGAGGGTTGTGTTCAATTTTGTGATAGATTTCTGTGTGTATAGACTTGTCTTCAAATAAAATAGGTAAACAAAGTGGAGTGCCCTCTTGTTCCAGGTACATGGTACAAGCATTCATAGAAATTATTACCTCAAAACTGGCCAAATCAAGGGATACTAGAACACCCTCCTGTTTGGCAATTCGAATAGCAGCATGAATAATTTCCAAATTAGATATCGCATATCTGAGTACCAACCACTGTAACATAAGACACAGAAGCAAATAAGCTGCGAAGACTCTGGAGGGTACCACCATTCAGAAGCTCCAGATCAATGCTGATAAGTAAGAAAACCAAGTTTATTGAGGGCATGATAGATGTGTATTGTATCTAGGGTTATCATTAAATATAAGGCGACATCTTCTCTTCAAAGTGTAGTTTGACATTTGATTTGCAAAATAGTCATCTAGGGCAAACTTTAGTCCAATATTAGTTTACAAGTATTTAACATTTTACATAAAGATGAAGAACACTTCTCATAGGCAGACATAAATCAACACAAACCTAGTTTGATACAAAGGTGCTTTACCTTGGAACCTCTAAAATCCTCTCTCATTAGTGCATCTGCCTGACAAAAGAAAATATGATAAAAACAGTGAGCTTTACACTCCTAACATGAAATCTCAACATCTTTAACAATCATGAACTAGATAAAAACATCCACCTGAATCTTAGCAGCATTTGAGAGACACGGTCGCATTGTACGATTGGCCAACTCGTCAACAAGGCAAACACACTGTGCCATACCATAAATTTGAGTACTAAGCATCCAAAAGCTTAATGAAATATATGAAAGAACTAGTCCACTTCTGTGATAGTATGAAGCTCACCTGAGCAGTGGATCCTTTCTTCATCCTCAATCTCGAGATGTTCACTCCATACAACCTCATGTTACTCACAAACAATTTTCCTTGCTCATCATCCCCACAGGCTCCAATTATACCACAAGAGACCCCAAAGCCAGCAGCCAAGCCTCTAATAGTATTAGCAACACTGCCCGCGGCTATCGTTTTTACAGGAGATAAATCATCGGGGGATGACAGAATATGAATTTTCACTTCACTCAATATATGCTCAAGCTCTTCAATTTCAACCTACTTGGGATAAATAGAAACAAATTATATTTTACACAACCTACCAATTGAAATTCATCATAGTTGGGATCTTCCCGACATAGTGAAAACAAATGTTACATTACAGGTGATATATTTGATTCAGCATTGTAAAAGCACTTGATGAAAAGAAGTCAATAGACCAATCTAGTGAATATAAGTACAAAAGAGAAGATCAAATCTAAAAAATTAAATGCTAAAAATTTACAAACCAAATACCCTGCACAACAACCAAATAAAGCTGTTATTAAATGCTCCAATGTTAAAAAGGCATACTAAAAATAGCATTCTCTTTGTATGCCCACTAATGCCACCATGGGTAAAATATAATTTCGTAGTTTGCTTACACAAAGTAACCATTTCTGCCAATTCTACAGAATCCCAATGACCATAAGGTTGCATTTGGATTTATCGGTTTGAAAAGAATGGATTTGGCCTTAATAATTTGACGGACCGTCAATTCAATGTAATATTTTAGATTTAGATGTCAAGAATGGGTTTGAGAACTTTATATTGACGCAATTCAAGTAAAAAAATTTCACCAAGTTATTTTAATTCCTTCCATAAAAGATTCCATTTGAACAAGAATCTCAACAAAATACACCTTGCAGCACATACTTTAGACTCATCAATCTACCTTCTAGAGCTAATCTTCTTATAATTTTATAAAATTCACACCTCAAATCCCTTCATTTGAAATTCACTCATCCAAATGGAGCCTAAGGGTTTAGTGGGTGCCATTCACAGATTTAATTTTTGACAACAGTCAATTCAGCTCAGTTAAAAATATAGTCAGACATCATGAACACAAAAGAAAAAATAATAATAATTGCTTTGATTTTACAGATGTAAAAGCATAATTAAAAACTGAAATCTTGAAAAATCTTGGGTTACCGGGAAGGAGCCACCAGACTCGCCGGAAATTTGAGAAAGTAGAGACCAATCGACCTTGGCTATGTGGTCGATGAGGGCAGAGGGTTGGAGTCCTAGTATCACTGGAGGATTAACAGCACCTGAATCTTCTCCACCATTGCAGTGGTTGTTAGACAGGTATTCCATACCCATTTTTGGTGGCTCTCCTCTCTCTCTCTCTCTCTCTCTCTCTTCCCCAGAATTCCTGCCTCAAGCTTCTTCCCTCCTCCTCTCCCTCTATGCATATATATATATGTGTGTATGTACAGACTGTAGATTCAGCAAGCAGGGTACTACACCTGTTTGGCTCTTAGCCCTTTTTTTTGACTTTTCTTTGGGTTTAGAATTTATAAAAGAATAAAATAGATTAAAATATTTAATAAGAGAAAATATTATATTAAATTTATAATTTTTTTAATTTTTTTTTCATAAATCTTACATTTAATTATAAAAAAATTTAATTATTTTTTCAAATATAAAAATTTTAACTTATTAAAATAATTAAAAACTAAAATAATTTACTAAAATAGCTAACTTCCCAAGCAAGACCTTAGTTTTACTTTTTTTTTTGTGTAAATGATAAATTACACTCACCTCCAATAAAATTTTGAGAAATTACAATAAATTTTAGAATTTTAACATAATTATATTAAATATTTTTAAAATTTTAATTCAAGTAAGTTAATCTCATTTTTATTAGTTATTTGTTAATAATATGAATGAGAAAATATTGCCGTTGTTTTTATACTAATGTGCATATTTTTATTTATTTATTAACCTTATTAAAAGAGAAATTATAGTCATTAAACAAAAATTATAATTTTTTTTTGTATTTTCTTTACATTTCAAGAGAAATTAGCGTAATTTACCTTTTTATAAATTATATAATTTATTATATCTACCTATTTTTAAGCTTGGGCCTACTGGGATATAAATCCATTTACAATTAGGATAGTTAAATCCATTTACAATTAGGATAGTTAAATCCATTTACAATTAGGATAGTTAAATCCATTTACAATTAGGATAGTTAAATCCATTTACAATTAGGATAGTTAAATCCATTTACAATTAGGATAGTTAAATCCATTTACAATTAGGATAGTTAAATCCATTTACAATTAGGATAGTTAAATCCATTTACAATTAGGATAGTTAAATCCATTTACAATTAGGATAGTTAAATCCATTTACAATTAGGATAGTTAAATCCATTTACAATTAGGATAGTTAAATCCATTTACAATTAGGATAGTTAAATCCATTTACAATTAGGATAGTTAAATCCATTGCTCATGTTCGAGCTCTCAATCATTACACAATTTGTAATGCTATTATAAATGAGTTATGTTAGGGATCTTAAATAATTTATTAAATTTTTTATCAAACCTCTTATATGGGTGTGGGATCCACATACATGTAGGTTTGTGTAGGTCCAACACCCATGTTAGATGTTTAGTAAAAATTTAATAGATTGTTTAGAATCCCTAACATTTTCCATTTTAAATTTTGAAGAGGTGTATTTGACACTGAAACATAATTTCTACGAGGGCAACAAGCTATAGGATCATTTTGGCAACAAGCTAAAAAAGTTAACTTTTTGATTTTTTAGTTTTTTTAACCAAGGCTTGGTTTGGGAAGTGGGTTGGCTTTTTAGCTTTTTGGTTTTTTTGGCTATTTTAGTCTGGGCTAAAAAGCTTGGTTTGGGAAGGGCTTTTTGACTTTTTGGCTTTTTTGACTTTTTTTGTGAGAGAATAGTGTAATAATTATGGGTTGGATGTGATGTTTTGTTTGTTATGGCTAAAATAGCCTATTTTGTTTTTTGTGGCTAAAATAGCCAAAAAAGCCCAACCAACTTCTTCCCAAACGGTGCTATAATTTATTATATCTACCTATTTTTAAGCTTGGGCCTACTGGGATATAAATCCATTTACAATTAGGATAGTTAAATCCATTTACAATTAGGATAGTTAATTGTTAAAGGTACGACTCAGTTCATTAAATAAATAAATAAGCTTAAACTCATTTAGTTTACAAATCAAACACGAGCTTCAACATCCTTGTTTGTTATCTTTAAATTTATAAAACTATAAATAAAATAAATTATTTAATTCCAAGTCAAGATATTATTTTAGATTACTTGAACAAACAAAAAATAAAATAAAAAAAAAAGTTATTAACAAAATTTTAAAAATTCCATATTGATTGTTAGCTTTAAACTGACTTTTTTTTTTCCCCAATTTTTTTATTTAATTTTTTAAAATCTGTGTCAAATTTTTTATTTTATTTTTATACCTTTAAATTCCTCTAGATTGAATGATTCTAAGATTTAAAAAAAAATAAAATTGAAAGAATTAAAAAAAATATTAAAGAAATTTGATTTTTTTTTTTTTGTTTTTGTTTTGTCCAAAGAAAACACTAAAATCAGTTGTTTTCATTTAATGATTTTTTAAAAATAATTATTTAAACAATACTAGTACATCACATAAAATATTGCATAAACTATTATTTCTCTCACAAAAGTGGCCGATTCTGTATAAATCATGTATGGGATCCACCACCTCTACAAGAGATATGTTGATTTATGTGTCGTTTTATGCGATACCTATAAATTTACTGCACAAATTAAAAGTCAAAAATTATTATAGTTGAGAAATATTTAAATTAAATTTGAACAAATTCATTAAACAATAAGAATTATAATGTACACATGACAAACAAAAGATAAACAACCTTGACATTCATGAGAACAGAAAAGAAAGAAAAACCTTCACATGCTTGAGATATCACCGGAACAAGAGTAATAATATAGTTTATAATGCTAAATCAGCATGCATAGTAAGCAAAATCATACGAAAAGAAAAGACGGATACGAAATAGCCATAACAAATGTGTCGAATGGACATCAAGTGGTTGATATTATTCCTCCAAGATCAAAATTTCTTGTTTCAAAAGGCGAAACTATTAAGGAGTAATATCATTTCATTATTATTCACAAATTCTAAACCAACTCATCTTCAAATATTAGTCACTTTTTCAATTTTATCAAATAGTCATTTATTCATTTATTTTTTGTGAAGAAAAAGAAAGAGAAATAAGATAAAGAAATATTGAATTCAAAGGGACAAGATTTAAACATAGGCATCACATTTTAGTCAGGAATCATGCATAAGGAATCATCTCATACTACAAGCCAACTCCTTACACTCCATTTTGATAGGGTGATTTGGTGAAAAACGATAATAAATAATATACTTTGTTCATGTTTAGTTTGTAAATTGAATGAGAAATTGTGAGAAAATAACTCTCTTATTTTACTGTTTTCATTTTTAACCAAAAGTGGGAAGATTTGTTGAGGGGAAACTTCATTAATTAGTTGTATAATTTTCATGATATCAATATTATCCATTAAAATATAAATGAAGAAAAAAAAAATTTCACATGTTTTGTTTTCTTACTCATCTAAACATAATAGTTAAGAAAATAGGTATATATATATATTTTAAATTTGGCCATAAACCTCTCCTACCTTCCCTTTCTTGTTAAAAGGACAAAAAAAAAATTAGTACTTTCAAAACAGCCTCATAATTAAAAAATCCTGTATAAAGGATAAAATTTATTATTTAAATATTTTATTTTATCATTATACCTTCTCTTTTTTCTCTTTCTTTTACATCTCTCTCTCTCTCTCTCCACCAACTCGATGGTTGTTCATCGTCTTCCCCATTTTCATCGTTTATCGGCATCATTCATCCTCACCGTCGGCCAGCAACCACCATTGTTACCGTCAAACTACCACCATCATCTCAAATTTTATACTTACGAACTCATATTTGAGATCAATAATTTCAATTTTGAGAGTAAAAAAAAAAAAACTTGGATTTGATAGAAAAATAAGAAATCGAGATATTGCACTGAAAAATCAAGAGTTTTTTTTTTTTTGTTCATAGATCTAAAAGTAAAATTTGATTATGATTCGTTCATTTAATATATACTCTGTTTTTGTAACAGTAAAATTTTACTACAAATAACAACATGCTAATCTACTTGACGACAATAAAATTTTATTTTGAATTATAATAAATTTTACTCTGAATTTACTCTAAAATAAGTTACAATGATGGCTTTGTAGGAGAGTGTTGTGTCATAAATAGAGTAAAATTTTACTGTTAGAAGAACGAAACATCATGAGAAGAAGATAGAGAGATAGAGAAAGAGAAAGAATTTCATGGTGAGTGGCGGTGGCGCCAATGGACAGCGACAATGATGCTGATGAAGAGCAACGGTGATAAAAGTAAGACAGAGAAGAGATTAAGATGAGAGAGAGTGTGATTGAAATTTGATACACATAGGGCTATTTTGGGAACTTGGCTAAAAGCCACTTTTTTTTGTTAGTAGCAAAAGTCAAAAGTTGGCTTTTTTGGCTTTTTTTTCATTTGGCAAGTTGGTTTTTAGCCAACGGTGAAATTATAATTTTACCCCTCATGGGTCACAATGTGTTACATAGGTTTAGTTGTAAATATTTTAAATAAATGGGGGTAGTTTAGTCATTTTATTATGATTTGACATCATAAACAAATATTAATCAAAAAAGTCAAAAGTCACTTTTTATCAACTTCCCAAATCATTTGTCTAAAAAAGCCAAAAACTTAGTTAAAAGTCAAAAAACCACTTTTTACCATCTTCCCAAAACAATAAGAGTATATATATATATATATATATATATAAAAGTGGAGCGACGTTGACCCCTGACTTTCTTTCCTTTTTTTTGTGTTTTTGTGGGTTTGGTCATACTCTTACGTACAGTGCCCACGTAATTATTGTTGGGTTGGGTCTTGCTCACCACACTGACACCACCACATGCACTTTTCTTTTTTGTCTTTTTTTATTTTTTATTTTTAAATCCCAATCCCAACCAAATATTAATTACATAATTTTTTTTAGATAAATACACACAATTCTAATTATATGGTAAGGTTTAAAATTTTAAAATCTTAAAAGTGTATGAAAATTCTTTTATATTTTATTTATTCACAGTACTTGTTAAATATTTTTGTATTTTTCTTTTGTTTTCTTTGTCTCCCTTTATTGTTATGGTGCCGTTTAGGTAACATTTACATTTTCAGTTTTTCTATTATATATTTATAAAATTTAAAAAACTCAAACAAAAACTTGTTTGGTAAAATTTTTTATTTATATAAATAAGTGGTCTCAGTTTATAAATTTGGCCAAAAAAATGAA